CTGTACTTGTGCATGGCATTGCCCTGACCCACGTGCAGGACCTTGCACTTGGCCTTGTTGAACTTCATGAGGTTCTCACAGGCCCACCTCTCCGGCCTGTCAAGGTCCCTCTGGATGTCATCCCTTCCCTCCAGCATGTCCACAACACCACACAACTTGGTGTCATCTGCAAACTTGCTGAGGGTGCACTCGATCCCACTGTCCATGTCTCCAACAAAGATGTTAAATAGCACTGGTCCCAGTACTGACCCCTGAGGAACACCACTCGTCACCAGCCTTCACCTGGACATTGAACCATTGAACTCTTTGAGTGCGACCATCCAGCCAATTCCTTATCCACTGAGTGGTCCATCCATCAAAACCACGTCTTTCCAGTTTAGAGATAAGGATGTGGTGTGGGACAGTATCAAATGCTTTGGATAAGTCCAGGTAGACAATGTCAGTTGCTCTTCCCCTATCCATCAATGCCTTAACCTCCTCATAGAAGGCCACCACATTAGTCAGGCAGGATTTGCCCTTAGTGAAGCCATATTGGCTGTCACCAATCACCTCCTTGTTTTCTATGTGCCTTAGCATAGTCGCCAGGAGGATCTGCTCCATGATCTTGCTGGGCATAGAGGTGAGACTGACTGGCCTGTAGTTCCCTGGGTCTTCTTTTTTCCCTTTTTAAGGAACAAAACGCTTGCTAGAGCATCAGTAACCCAACAGTGTTTCATACAAGTGGGAGCTTTAGGATTTGTTGGCAAATCCTGTAAAAGGATTTTTAGAAAATCAGAATTGAGGTAAATGTTTCTCTGTCAGATGTGTCCATTTCCTAATGAACTACCTTAATTGGTGTCTGTTGATCAAAGAAGCCTTTTATTACTTTTTACTTCTTACCTTCACATTTGAAACATAACCTGTTTTCTGTAGACCGCACAGTTCTAAGTTTCAGAGGATGTTGAAATAACCATATTTTGTTCTGATCAATGGCTATACTTGAAATAGATAAATGCTTCCCCTTGTGTGAGTTCTAATTTTACAGGTTGTTTCTGTTTTGAAAAGAAGCATGGTTTTTATTTTTTTTTATTTGCAGCCCATCCTACAGAACATAAAAAAAGACTTCCAGCTCTTGATGCCGTAGTGACGCCAGATGATGTTCGGTATTTTACAAGTGAGACTGATGACATTTCCAACTTGGAGGCAAGTGTCCAAGAAAACCCTTGTGATGTACAGCTTTGGATTAAACTTGCATACAAATACTTGAATCAAAATGAAGGGTAAGTCTGCAACATCAGATTTGGTTTTGTCCTTTACCTGTGCTGCTATGATCAGGTTTCCTTTCTGATGTTAAAGAACTTTCTTCAACAATGCCACAAATAATTTCTTACTTAAAAGCAGATGAAAAAACAGATTAGATTTCCTACTGTATGCAGTATAGTATGTGACTAATAATTTATAGAAATGGTTTATCTGTAGGTAAGTTCTGATTCAGAATGGAAGTGGATGGAAAGTAGTGTGGGAGAAATAATTATTTGTGTTTGAAAAGTGCACAACCATAATGCATTCACAAGATTACAGTGGAATGTTGTACTTCCAGTGATAAAGTAGTGGACTAATAAACTCAAATCAGTTTCTCCTCTACAAAGTGGATGGTTGGAATAGTGTTTGAAATTACTTTCATCAGAAAGCTTTCTTATAAGAACAGTTCTGCTATATGGTTTTGTCCCTGTAGAAGTGGCCTAGTTGAGCACTCAGTTTCTTATTTTGTAATTTTTTAAACTTACGTATTTCTAAGTCTCTGTGATTTCTGTTCCTTTAAATTTTTCTGCAGGGCAGCATGCTCTTATTGGTAATCAGATAATTTCAGTAGGAATTCTGTCATGATGGTTCCCTTGTAGAGATTGATTTATGATTTTGGTAGTGAGATACTGGCTTTGAAGCAGCTGCAGCAGAGAGGAGAGGGAATGGAGAGAAGCAGGTCTTTTAAAAGCCTTGTGTAAACTGTGAATAATGAAAAATGTAGGAAAAGATTGGTTTAGCTGTATCAATAGCTGCCTCAATACTAGAAAGGGTAGAACTGGAAAGGCCGGTACTCGAAGAAAATACTTACCAGCAAGTGGCAGGGTGAGAAGAACACACTTTCTAAAAATAAGCATACTTGGAAAAAGACCAAGAAAAGAAGGAAGAAAACCTGATGGAAGACAATGCATCCTTCTGTAAAAAACAGGAATGTCCCCCATTCGCGCTACCCCAGTACTCTGAAGAAACAGTGGTTTAGTAGGCAGCAGCTGTGATAGAAGGGGCTGGGAAGGCTTCAGACTGACTTACTCATGATTAACTGGGTTGGTTTTATTTTGAGACATGTGTTTTTCCTCTTGTAAATGTCTATGCAAAGTAATTTCTAAAGATATTTTCAGAATAAATGTGACCTCAGAAGCTTTCTGTGGTTTTATGGAAGTTTGTTTATGAATTAAAGCTCAGCTCTGTGGTTTGCAATATAATCAGTTATTTGAGCTAATCTTGTGTTACCTTGCTGGTGTCATCTCATGATAGTTAGTTACCTCAAAAAGTAAAATCTTTTTTTAATGGTTTAGAGGCAGAGAAAACCTGCATGACCTGCATAGAAACATGAAATAAAGGCTTATATTTGACTGTAGAAAGTAAATTAAATATGTAACAAAAATATTCTACCTTACTTAACTCAGCCTTTGAAATTCCTACTTAGTTTTTAAGTCTGTATAATGTAAACACCTTTATACGATTGCAACTTGAGACTTTTGCTTACATATGAATCTTACCCGTTTTCAGTTAAACTGGACTCTTACTTGAATTGGCACTGTCGTCCTAGAAAACATATTTTTTCCATGCACTATGATAATTGCACCTAGTAACCTTTGAAGGATGAACTTACTGAAACTTTCATTGTAAAGGACAGCACGTTAAAAAAAAAAAATGGCTGTCTGTATCACTTCCTTTCTAATTATAAACATCCATTTTCATATTTGATACAGCATAAGTCACAATACTAACACAGTTAATGTGAGTGATTTTTTTTTTTTTTTTTTTTTTTTTAATTTTTACAGCTCATCATCTGAGTGTTTAGATTCTACTTTAAATGTTTTGGCTCGAGCCCTTGAGAACAACAAAGAAAATCCTGAAATTTGGTGTCATTACCTCAGACTCTTCTCAAAAAGAGGCACCAAGGAGGAGATACAGGAAATGTGTGAAACAGCAGTGGAATATGCTCCCTCTTATCAAATCTGGTGGACAGTAAGTAAGAAAAAAAAAAAATTATACGTGAAATGTTCATGTAAATGCGTGTTTTCTACTGTATAAAATCAGTATGTATGATAGGGAGAGTGTGAAAGGAAAAGCACTCTAGCTTTTTGAAATCTCAAAAGTTGCTCAGAAAATGAAGCTATTCAAAGTTCTGTTTGCAGGGTATTTGTAGAAATCATCACTTTTCCTCAGGTAATAAAAGTTATTTAAAACCCAAGATGCTAACGTTTCTTATTTTTTGTTACTCAAACTTGCAAAATTTAACTTTTGACTATTTGATCTTTAATATTTAAACTGTTTTTTGAGATTTAATGTGAAAATTTGGTGTGAGGGAGGGAAATATGGTTCATAAGGTGGTGTCAAACATTATCCAAAGTTTTTGATTCATATGATTTTAAACTTTAACTTAGGAGCTTTAATAATATTCTGATTATCGTTATTATTAATATGAATTTTTCTCTCTAGTTTTTGAATTTGGAGAATTCCTTTGATGGAAAAGACTATGTTTGTGGGAGGATGCTACAGTTCCTAATGGAAGTGACAGGGAGAGAAGAAAATCCAAATCTCGTGTCCTTTCAGCTGCTGGAGACTCTTCTATACAGGGTTCACTTAAGCCTGTTTACAGGAAGACATCAGAATGCTCTTGTTCTGCTGCAGGTAACTTCCAGGTTACCACCCCAGGAATTGTCTTCTTACCTTCATCTTTCTAAAGCCTGTGGCTCTGATAGCATTAACCTTAGAAGAACTATTCCCTCCTTTATTTCCTGAAGGAATTCTCCTAGAGGCTTCTGTTTTGAGCTAATGCCTTTGTAAAATTTGAATATACTTCTGGAGTTCATATAGGATATACCTATTTTGCTTTGCTTGTGTAGCTGATACCCTAGACTACTACCACTTGAAATAATTCCCAGAGAATTGCTTTACTTCTTGAGGCATAGAACACTTTTCTGCAGTGAAGGGCCTATGAGTAGCTTATGGCCTCAGGTACTCAAATTTGTATTGCTACAGAAATAACCAAACCAGTAGCTCTTGGGAAGAACATAGTATGATGTTGTCTAACAATATTACCCTGCTCCAAAATTCGGAAACTGTTAAATCAGGCTTTATTGATCCCATGATCTCCAAAGTCATGGAGATATCTTGGGATTTTATTGTGACTGTAGAAGGAATTCAGGTCACTGTTGCTGTTCTGTAGTCAATAGGAGTGGTGGATGAAGGTGAGAAAGGTGACATCAGCTCCTACTAAAATCTGCTTGTAGTTTCAAGTGCACCATTTTTCATTCCTACCAGCAGGTGGAACCTGTTGCTGGTGACATCGTTTTTCGGTTTAAGGGTGCAGTGCTTTCTGCTAGCTCCAGTTCAAGTAGAAAGTGTAATACTGCGTTGTCTTCCTCCAAAAGCTATTTTAAACACAGCAGTACTGATAAATGTAACTCTGAATGTTTGACTGAATGAGTAAAAAGAACAGAGGGAAAGAACACTTGGTTTGTGTCCAGTTGGCATGGAAATGCAGAGTATATGGGAGTATAACATGGGTTGGTGTCCCTTACCTTTCCCCAAAGCATCATCACAAAACCAAACGTGATCTTTGGTGTTCTTTTTATATTCATCTGGGGTGTGTAGTTGGAAAAAAAAAAGTCGTGAGGAGAGATTATTTAACAGTATTTAAGAGAAGATAGCTTTTAAGTAAGTGCTACTTCAGAGTAAGTAGCAATGTGTCTCTGAAGACTTGAAAGCAAATTTTCTGAAGTAAATATTTTGAAGTGTGAATAAGTGAAATGTTTTTGAAACTTCAGTTTTCGCCTATTACAGGACAAGTGTCCTGTTGAATTTTGCTTAAGTTTGCAAGTACTTTCATTCCCTTGAAAGTGCGTTCTTTGATTGTACTGTGTTTATCCAGAAGAATGTTGGCACATCGCTAGCCATGACGTTGTTTTGTTTTACGAGCAATTGTGTTTAGACTTTGTCTAATTGCATGCTCTAATGATTTTATTTGGGATCTGCCAATTTAACTGGGCTATTCTAGTTTTGCGTATGACTGGAAGGAAAATTTGAAGCAGTATGCTTGTTCTCGGTAATGTTTGCACATGTTTTTTTAAACAATATCTCTAGACATCATGATGCCTGCAGTAGACTTGGACAGCTGTAACTTAGTAGCTGCATAACTAGAACTTAATAAAACCTAAAGCCCAACAAACAAATAAAAAACCCACAAAACCCAGTGGGATATAGCAAGCAGAATCCAACTTGTAGATGAGTTGTCTATTGAGCTAATGTATTGTTTCTATGCAACTGGAAATAACTGTCCAAGAATTAAGCAGAGAAATGGAATGCATGTTGGGAGATGCATGTTTTCAAAGTCTCTCTGTGTACTTTTCAAAATAAGTCTTCTACAGTTTTTCTAAACCTGTTACTAGAAGTTATGCATATGATTGGAATACAGTTGCACGTTGACATAAGCCAAATATAATCATGATTGATGTAAAGAATTATTTCTTGTCTTTTCTATGGGAAAGATTTGAGAATATTAAAACCTATGCTTCCTGTTTCCATTCCTTATTATTAGATCTTAAAGATTTTATGACTGAAATACATTGTATTTCTTTTAACATTTACAGAATGCTTTGAAATCAGCAAATGAAAAGATAATATCAGAACGCCTTACTGCGAGTGACCGTTGCTTGGCTTGGCTGGCTTACATACATCTAACTGAATTTGGCATTCTCCCTGTCAAGTTCTATGATCCAGCTAATGTCAGTCCTTCAAGGATTATGAACAAAGAGCCATTTTTAATACCATGGCAAACAGTTCAAGATGTGAAGACGGATCCTGATATGCTGTTAGCTATGTTTGAAGGTAAGATTAAGGAGTTAAATTACTTTAAGCATTGCTCATTTCTTATAAATCAAGACATTATCAAACTTCTGGAATTTCAAGGCAATAAAGTATTGCTCATGACTATGTTAAGCCATTGAGATTAATCCAGTTAATATTTCATCTTGATTTGAACAGAGCAGTGAGGAAAGTCCATGTTCTCAAGTACTTAACACACATACACACTGAGTTTTTTCATCTGTGGTTGAAAGCCATTGCTTTTTCTCTGAACTATGATATTGTTTCAAGACAAAGATAAGTGGTTCGTGACAGTATGACATTGCTAGTTTTCTTGGGCTTGTGCGAGCATAAAGCCAAGCTTCTGTTGTCATTCTGTCTCTTACCCTCCCTCCCCTCAATGGAATGTGTCTATTAGAATGTTGCTTTCCTGGAAGATTAGCATCTTTCCTTAGAAGAGGCAGAGCAATGCATGTGTTTGTCTTCATTCGAAGTTTAAGAAAACAATAACTTTTTGAAGATGTAAAATGAATATACTAGAAGAAATTGAATTCTTGTCTTGTGATGCTGCTGGAGGTAGACTTTATAATAGCATTGTATAAGTGTCAGTACTTAGCATGTTAACCAGCAGCATTATTGAATTGCCACTGAGAATTTATCCATGCTGCAGATGGTAATGCAGTGTGGAAATACTCAAGGACATATTGAGGAGCCCAACTGTGGAAGTGAAGGCAGCGTAGCCATGATAATGAGGTGTTTGTTATGGCGTGTTCATTGTTGGGTAACTTTTTATTATGTTGAGAAGAAAAATAATATCCTATACTAGCTTTTTTTCGCAATAGCTTTCAGTAGCTGTGCTACAAATCTTGGAATGTAGTTTTAAATACAGTGATACCCTGGTATCTGTAATGTCTTTAACATTTCATTGGTAGGATGTGTCCTTTTTTTAAATGAATGAGGGATGAAACTTCTGAAAGACTTTTGTCTTTGCACTGTGGTGATAAGTGTTAAGAAAGCTTTTCTGAAGATGGTCAGCTTCCTTTTTTTAATAACTTGCAAAAGCAGCACACTCAGAAATATCTTTCCACTCTTACATATTTTCATTACTTTAAATGAGAGTTTTCATTATGCTAAGGCTTCAAATAACTTTGACATTGCTTGGGGTCTAAACGCTTGATTTTATATTTTTGTTTTGAAGATGCGGTCAAAACATGTACTGATGAAAACCTTGAGGCTGAGAAAAGAATAGCTATCTGCTTTCCTCTCTACAGAAACATGATAGCTTTGCTGAAACTTCTAGAAAGGTAAGTTGTTTGAAGATATTTTTAATTGGAGTACTTAACTCTGCTTTTCTGAAAACTTACCTTTTTTTTTTTTTTTTAAGATGGGAGTCTGCTGCAGAACTTTGCAGGTCTTTATTGGAGCTCTGTCCTAACAACTGTCAGCTCTTGGAGAGTTTGGCCACCTTGTATTTGCAGATCGAGCAGAGTGACAATGCCTACAAAGTGTGGATTGAAGCTTTTGAGAAAAATCGTCAGAATGCAGAAATCTTTTATCAGTTGTGTAAATTCCTTGTTTCGCAGGTAATACTCTGCTCCAAAACTCATTATTGATCTGCAGGCTTTATAAAGTCGAGGTTTGTGTGTCGTTTCAGACAGTTAACAAATTGATTCGTCTTCATGATGTTTCTCTAATATCTAGTTCCCCTAATTTATATAGATGGAAAAAATGGAATTGGCAAGATTAGTGACATGATTAAAAATAATCAAAGGAATTACATAAGCCATAAATTTATAGTTCAGATTGTTCTAATCCAGTTTTAATATATTTAAGCAAGAATAATAGATGTTAAAAGTAAACAGTATAATATTTTCAGCTTTTTTCTGCTTCCTGCCAACGTGATCCAGTTAGACTTCATTCTTGAGAGAATGAAGACAATGGAGCATTGCAGAGATAGACACACCACTTGTTATTTATTGTGCTTAAATTGTTCTTGTCATTTTCAGGTTGATGTCTGATTTTAATTTTTTTGTTTTTAAAAAATAAACCCCCAAAACAGGAAAGATCAAATAGTATTCTTCCATTGTTGCAAGATTTTGTGGCAGCTTTCTTTGAAAATACATGCCAACAGCATGGTCCCATGGATCTCTTAAGGTACCTTTAGAATATTTTTTTCTATTTAAGTTTCAGTAATGTTGGCATTTCCTTGAAAAACAAGGCAGTCTAGAACTTATAAACTATTACTCTATTTTGGAATATTTTGCTAAAACTTCAAGAAATCACGATTTGGTAGTTTATAAGGTTTATACTTGTTGTGCATATATGCTAAATTGTGAAACCACAAGCATTTAAAGATGAAACAGCCAGCAAGTTTAATGTCTGGATCTGGGGAGTGGAAATCAGTCATATGTAAGCTGAAGTTGGTTTTTAGATGCTTGGTTTTGGTTTATTTTTTTTGTTCTGTTTTGGGTGGGGTGTTTTTGTTCGTGGTTTTTTTTTTTTTTGTTTCCCCCAAAGTTAGGAGCCTAAAATTGCATAACTAAAATACTGTGTTTAAGCACTTGCAAAAGACCTCACTTTAGAGGTCCAGCATGCTATTAATCAACAGATTATTACTGCTGAAAGGGCACAGGTTCATATCTAGCCTGCTGATTTTTCCACTCAAATTTTAGCACCTAATTGAGAGGCTTACTTAGGTCTGTTTTGAAGCATATACAAGTTCCCTATAGTCAAAATGGATGCCCATGAAGGCCTTCAAAGACAGACCTGTGGTAAAGCTTATGAGGCTTTGAAATGTTTTTATCTCCAAGTTAGGTGTTAGGTTTTATTCCTGCTACATTTCTTTATATTAAATCTAGTACTGGCAATGCTGCTTAGCTGACTGTAGTTAGATGATTTTACATTACCTGATTTATTTTGTGGGGGCAGGAGGAGGAGTCAGATCTAAAGGAACCTTTAACTTTGTACCTAATGAGGGAGTGAATGCTTTCTGTATAGACTATTTCTACATTTCCATGTAATGCTTTCTGTATAAATTGTATCTGGAATGAAACTAAAATCTAGGAAAAGTGTGTCTTATTTAATATGTCCCATGAACTGGATTTCAGAACTAAATGTTACATCCATATAGTAGTCTTCCATGTAGAGAGATATTCTTGTTTACTTGCTTTTTTCTCTTGTAGATATCTCTTGAATTTTCCCATGCCAATTGAATTTACATCACCTCTCTATAAAGAACATCTTACAGATGATGTTGTAAACCAGCAAATCCCATACCTGTGGCAGATCTACTGGTGAGACTTTCTAAAGTGTTTCTGAGAAACAGCTATTGGACCTAAGCAATTTGCACTTTTAAAAGCAGAAATTCATTATTTGCCTCAGGGTATATCACTGGGTTCTTTCAATAAATGATCCGCCAGTCCTTAGAGAACTTAACCTGCCTGCTGCACAACAGAGACGGTTTTGTGAAACTCTGAATTGCATGTCAACTTAAATGTTCCACTTGAGAAATCTTTCAGAAGTTCTGCCCTATGGGAACAGTAACAAGTGTGTTCATCTCAGAAAATAATTTTCTGTTTTACTTTTGTTTTAGGTTGCTACTGCTAGTAGTGGTGTTCTTTCTTCTGACTTTCAGCTGTCTGCCTTTTGTTTTACAATCGTTCCTGCACTCTGTTTAACTTTGTTTAGCTCTGGTCTCCCCACCTTCCTTGACTCACTGTTTAAGCTGTTTATGGAGCTACTATCAACAGGCTATAAAAGTTGGAACTAGCTACAGATGCCCCTCGTAGCAAAGTTATACAGCAAAGTGACCTTTTCCTCTGCAAGAGGCTACAAAGGTGACAGGTCTTTGTCATGTATACATAATCTTTTTTGTTTCTTCCACCATTCCTTCTGATAGCAGCAATATCCAGGATTGGCAAGGCACCAAAGTATTGGCCATCTATAACTCACTGGTATAACTGTCGTTACTGAGATGTTGACTTAAGCTGTTTTAAGAAGTTTACCACTTCATGGTCTGGGTTTGTCCATCTTCACAAGTAGCTATCTGGCTTTTCAGATAAGTAAAGGGGCAAAGATGATAACGCTTCAGGTACTGAGTGAGGACTCCTCAGAACTCCTTCAACACTGTTGCTTATAGTTTTTAATTGGTGGACAACTTATAAACAGGTAAAATGTATGGTTTTCAAGAAAATATTTATATAAGGTTTTAATTAAGTTATCTTAATGTTTTCTTTCAATATTGTGCATTAATATCAATTTAAATAAATTGTTTTTTAGAAAATACCTCTTCACAAGTTCAATTTTAAGTTTGGTACTTGCACAGTAGAAACACTGTTAGATAGTTGAGGTCACTGTTTGATCTAGTCAGTAGAGACTTAAGCTCAGAAGCTCCTGTATTTTAGCACCTGCTTCTGAGAGAAAAATTAGTGCTCTTGAAATAAGTGCCTAAGTTACTTTCAAAGCTGATAATTGAGTGTTTCTGTGGTCGAATTTTGCTACAATATGTGCCTATGTATCTGTCTTTCCTTTTTTCAGGTACAGAGGACAAAAGACATAAGTTCACTTTTACCAAGTGAAAGTAGTCAGACTGAAATCAACAAAGCCTCAAAGCTCAAGGAACAATGCTTTTCTTGAAAAGATCATTGACTGTGTGTACACATATGTATGCATGTGCATAAACATATACACACACTTTTTTTAAAAAGAGTAGCAAACCAGTGATTTAGTTTGTAGTGCTTGCAGAAAGCAGGAGTAGAATCAGGCACTCCGACGTGACCCTAGTCAGGAGGGTTCTGTAGCGAGGTAGCAACATCAGCCCTCTCTTATTTTGCCTTAGTGTAGTCTTCCTCGTCATGAGTTTTTTTTCCTCTTACGACTCAGTCTTTCCTTTTTTTCCACTGTTACTTTACACTTTGAAATAAGGATTGTTCACTGAATCTTGGTAAAAAATGTATCTGCTTCTGTCTTCGGTGAGATTCTGTATGTTGGTCTGACGATATGTTTCTTTGAGGAGTTGTGGAAAAAAATGAGGAGGGTTTTTGACTGTTGTTTGTTTTCTGATGTGATCAGCATGTTTCTATCCCAGATCCCCAGTAGTATTTTTTCAGAACACTATTTTTGTTATCACCATCTGATACCATTTCTCAAGTGGTTTTAATCTGACTGAAATCTGTTGAGCTTTCCAAACAGAAGTTCAAGACTTGTCTCCATTCTGTAGCAGTCAGAGCATCCGTATTGTAAGGGTTATTTAAAGGGTACTTTGTAAGAGTAGAAGACAATTCATAATATTTCTATTTAAGTTAAGAGTTGTGTTTTAAACTGCATGTGTGTTGTATTATTCCTAATTATCTGCAGTTGAGACTTACCCATTTTAATAAGTTAACTGATAAATTAGCCCATAATGCTGCTAATTTATGATGCTGTAACTGAAAACAGTTTTTTCTTGTATCTCAGAATGGGAAGTTCTTTGTTGTTTCTCACTCTTAATACATAAGAACATACATTGCTTATGACGTACAACAATTTTTAACTTTTAATATAAACAGTTTGTGCCAGTCTCTTCACGGAAGTGTTGGTGAAGCACTGGATGCTTATGAAGCAGCTCTGGGGGCAGTGATGCAGCAGGAAACTGTTCAGAACATCTGGCTGGAGTAAGTTCTTAAGGGAGGAAAGTAAATTAATCTCACAACTATTAAATGAAGGCTACCAGAACTATCTTTTTCTCTTTTTTTCTTCCAGTTACCTTGTTTTTATCAATAGCAAAGTTGTTGGATCCAACAACAAAGTTCAAGAATTCAAGCTTTTTACTGACCTAGTGAACAGATGTCTGGTTACAGTCCCCACACGATACCCAATTCCTTTTAGTGCTGCTGATTATTGGACCAATTATGAGTTTCATAATAAGGTAAAAACGTGTCTGTGGACAGTTTTAATTAAACAAAGAGACTGATGACCTTTTAGCAGCTACCTGTAATTTACTTGTTTGAATATAGCATCAGTAGTGTATGAACAGTGAGAGCTAGGTATTGGTAGAAAAGAAACAAGTATCTGGGAAGAGTAGTGTTCTGAGCAGAAGACTGTCTAGCAGTGACCTTCTGAATAAAGGGTGTGTAAGGCAAAGAGAAATTTTATTGTGTTATGCTTTCATGTTGTGAGTAGAGCTGTTAACAGCAAACTTTTCCTTCCTAGAGAAAAGAGAAAATGTGTAAGGGAGGGAAGAGGGTTGAGCGAGAGGGGTCTGCAGAGCTGTAACACTGGCAGATGGAGACAGTATTTAAGCTGTCAGTTTTGATCATAGAAGTTGCAGTGGTTAAGAAACTAAAGAAATAAAATAGAAGTAGGAGTAAAACCAAGTTGAGCACTTAGATAGAATAAAACTTACAGAAATTCTGGGTCTCGTTAACATCCAGTGCATTTCCCTTTACTCACTAAATGCAGGCTAGAAGAACTGAAATAGGCGGTCTTAGCAACTTGACACTAACTTTTTATTATAAAAATGAATTTGTCTACCCTTGAGGGATAAAGTCTGTAGTTGATAAGGTCTGTAGGTGGTAACTCACTTCAGTCATAATGTTCATGATTTGTCATTCCATTATTCTTAGGAAAATTAGACACCTATAAAGTGGATTTATGTTTATAATTCAAATTCTACAGGTAATTCTTTTTTATTTGAGCTGCATTCCAAAATCTCAACATTCCAAAACCTTGGAGCGGTTTTGTTCTACCATGCCTGCTAATCCTGGACTTGCACTGAGGTATGTAAAAATACTTGTAATAAAAACAAACAGCTGGTTAACATAACTACTGATTTTTGTGCATGACTTGCTTTCTACTACAAAATTAAAACTCTTCCTCTATTATTGCATGTTGCTTGAGGCATATTGTGCCTGCTGACATCATCTCAATCTTTCTTGTATTTGACAGGGTTCCATTCTATCTACAGAAATGTTATAATTGTACAACACAGTGTTAATCCTATATATGATGAGTACAAATGGTCAAAATTTAAAATATGTAGAGAAATGTCAGATACATACTAAAATCTGGTTGTTACTTAATGATCTATTAAAAGCATAGTTCCAGCATAGAACAAGTAAAAATGGATGCACCAGTGTGTAACAGTGCTACCTTAAGGCTTAACTTGACATTTATTTAGCAAAGAGAAACCATTCTTAATTTTGAAAAAAATCTTATGGGAAGCAAAACCAGCTAATGTAAGCATCACATTGATTCTTACTTGAACAGTGTTTCAGAATGTACCCTTCCAGGATTAGAGTCCATGTTTTACTGTTTTCAACTGCAGTGAACTCATGAACATTTGAGTGATTTTGAGAAGTCCCCAGACACTGTTTGTCATCAACAATGACCCCAAAGAATGCAAAGCAAGTCTTGAAATGAGTGTATGTGGTTGTGGGTGTGGGGAGAGTATAACACGCCTGCCTTTGGCACACGAGGTTGAATGGCTGCCTTTTAAATCAAGTTGCGATTCTGCCTAGATGGAACTTGCAGCTTCCTTAGACAGTGTTGATACTACATGAAATGGGTGAGCAGAACTCACTGAACAGTATCTCCTAGCCACCTGACTATAAAACTAATTAGCCTCCTTTCAAATATACAGTTACCTTGTGCATGCTAAAAATTAATCTTGTAATGTGCCAGGATCATATTTTCTCTCTGTTTTCACACTTCTTAGTTATTCTCTGAAAGCATATCTTAAGTTTTTTGTGTTGTTTTGTTCTGAGAGCATGTTCAGTCAATATTGTGTATGGTAGCTTGGGTTTTTTTCCTACTTGCAACTCTTGGCTCAGATTAAGTACAATATATTTTGTGTAATGTATTTGTTCCTTTGGATTACTTTTGTTCCCAGTGATTAGAGCAGTGTTCCTTTCTCATGAATGCCTTTTACAGACTGCTTCTGCGATACTGGGAGGAGAGCAATGTTCAAATTCTGAAACTGCAAGCCAAGATGTTTACATATAATATCCCAACATGCCTGGCCATCTGGAAAATGTAATGCAACAGTCATACATCTGTTTTCGTAGATATTACTTTTGTTTATAAGGTTTACATCACAAAGGTAAATCTGAAATGTCCTTACAATTGGGCTTGTACTGGAAGTTTCTCTTTCATTAGCTTATTATTTAAACAGTAACTGTTTGTTACAACAGACAGAGGTATTGTCGCTTCTTTAAAATGAGAAATGAAATTTCCCTCTTGGGGAAACTTACGTGAATTGATATTATGCAGATAAATATGAATGATGTGTTTTCAAGCTGCCTTTTTAATTCAACTATTGACTTCTGTCTCCCCCTCTCTACCCTCCCCTTTATATATCACAATAGCAGTAATCTCCATTATCCAGTGATGCTGAACTGATCTTTTTCTTCAGTGTTTGTTCATAATGGGGAACCACTGAAATGTCTTGCTCATGTAAGGTCGTTTTTAAAAAATGGCTATTTTTGTCTTTTCACTGTAGATTAACATCATTGGAAGTTAGTCAGTTTCTTCTCAAGGAATTTGTAATTCCATTCCATAGTCAGTATTCTGCCACTAATGGCATTTATAATCATTCAAGAATAAATATTTTTATATATTTCTTTTCCTCAGAGCCATTGCTGCCGAATGCTTTCTAATGGGACAAAGAGAAGTAAGTCAACACAGCTTACTAAAATGAGTAATTAAAAAATTCTGTAAAACTTTTCATACCTTGGCTTTATCCAAAGCAATGGTTGTCTCTTAAACCCAAGGTTTCTAGATAATTGAAATACTCTTTGTATAAACACTGAAGCATTTGCCTCAAGTGTGAGAAACATCTTTGGCAATCAAGATAGAATGGGTCATATCATGAGTACTTGTGTGTACTGTTTGTGTGTATCTTTCCCTTACCAGGGGCAGGGACTGTATTCTTCCGACACTTTTGGTTGTGTGGTGGGTTTTTTGGTGGTGGTTTGTGTTTTTTTTGTTTTTTTTTTTCACCTGGAGGAGATTGCTAGCACTTTATACAGTAGAGGGAAGGAAGGATTGTTGTGCTGTAAGATACTGACAACTATCTTTACAAGCAGTTGGAAAGGTGGGTCTGCCAAGCCAATCTATGTAGAAAGTTTGAGTAGTTTCTGACCCACCAAAGACATCAGCTCTTTTTTTCCAAAAATAACACTTTTACTCGTTGGTACTCTGAGGAGGGAAATATTTTTGTCACTCTGTAGACAAATACAAGAGACTTTTGGCACAGAAACTAAGTCACTTTTCGGTTCAGATGGAATGGATCTTCCTGGTATTGTTGCTGTCACCTTCAAAATATTCTTCTGCCTGTGGAAAGATGCTGTGTATTGAGGGGATTGCAAGGCCCTGGGTTTGTGACTCACCACCTGCTTGTGGTGTTTCTGAGCTACTTCTCTGCTCTGTCTTGTTTCATGTCATTCTTGTAGCGGCTGATTCTCAGCTTCCTTCTTTTCTGTCAGTAGTCTGTCTTTGAAACAGTATTAAAGCTTTAACTGGTCTGTAATGGGTAGCGTGGCTATTGTTAGACTCGCATATGAAATCTTCTCTTTCCTTTTTTACTGTCTCCTAGAATGTTTAAAAAGAACAACCCCCCCAAGCAGACAGTTATTTGGTTTGTAAGATCAAATAGTTCAAAGACAGGAGATATCAAAGGCATGGTTGCCTATTCAACCTTAATTCTGTTTCCATGTTGATGGTTTGGTGTAATCTGTAATTAGTCACAGATCCCTGCTTCAGTCATTGTATTAGATGGACTACATTTTAAGGTACTACCTGTAGTGAGGCTACTGACTTAAAAGATCCTTGCTTTTTTTTTGGTTAGAAATTTAGAAAAATATATTTAAAATGAATCAAAAGGAGCATCCTTAAAGAAAATGAACCAGTTAGAATGAAGACATATGTAAAACATTGTGGCTGGATTACACCCAGAAGAAATCTTGTGGTTTTCTTCTGCAAGCACCTGACTAACTATACAATGTGGAGTAAAATCACTTTAGTAGTCACATGTAGTGCAGTTGGGTTTTTTTGGGGTGCTTAATTTGGGATGCAGTGAGCACTTACAACTGTCTACGCAAATCAGTGACTGTTCCAGATAACTAGATTTTTCTAGTAAACAAGTAGGATATTGTTTTAAAATTGAATTGTCATTCAGATTCTGGATTTCATGTTTCTGGAGAACCGGTCAGTTGTTCCCTTCAGCAGGTCATGTAAAGGTTTGCTAAAAGGATATAAAAATGAGTACGAGTATTGAAAATGCCAACAAATACGTCTTCTAATGACTCTGTGATTAAAGTTGGTGCTTTAGATACCAGTAATTGAAGAAGACCTGAGTAAACACTTGCATTAAACATTTTGGTTCTCTGTTTCTAACTGTAAAATGGTAGAACTGTTTTTTTTCTTTTCAGAGAGTTGCAAAGACACATACTTTGCTAAAGCACAGATAGATGCTGAAGGAAAAAAGCCTATGAAACAGTTATTTTCATTGCAGGGTTGGGGTGTTATGCAATAAGCAAGACCTTGAGTCCACATATTGAGTGGTGAAAGAGAAATATTCAGTAAGCTGCTTCATTCCCTGAGCATGTTCCATCCTGTGCAATGAATGAAGCAAGAATCTTGTGAAGAAAAATAGAATGTCCTCATGTAATTAATCATGTGCATACAAGGGTCAGAATTAAGGTCAGACATAAACTTGCCTTTGCTTTTAGTAGCAATTTAATGCTCGACTTTGAAACTTTTTTAAAAACAGATTTTAAAAATTATTGCAAGATATTTTTCTGCTTCAAATCGCACATTTTGAGTGCACGAAACTATGCTGCCTTTAATACTTGTTTTTGTTTTACAGGTCCATCATTTATATCAGAGAGCCCTTCAGAAGTTACCTCTGTGTGCAACACTGTGGAAAGATGTAATGTTTTCTCCTTATGATTCAGTTTGAGGTTTCATATAAATTTTCTGCATATCCCATATCCATAGATGTGGTGATGCTCAAGCTCTGGCTAAATCTTATATCTGCTTCCCCATCTCTTACAGCAACTCTTGTTTGAAGCATCAGGAGGAGGTAAAACTGATAACCTGAGAAAACTAGTTTCCAAGTGCCAAGAGGTTGGAGTCAGCCTAGATGAGCTTTTAAATTTAAACACTTACAGAACAGAAAGCAAGAATCACTGAACGCTGGGTACGGTCAGCCCTAAGTCCTATTAAATGCCAAAATCAGATTCTTCAGGCTGATCCGTGCCTAAGATCTGTGTAAGGCAGATGAGTATTGCTGAGCATATCAAGTCTCCAATCTGCTTTCCTTGAACCTGGAAACAATTAACGTGACCCTCCTCTGGAAAAATGAACTCCCTGTCTGGCCTTGCTTCTGGGCCCTGCCAGATTCTCATAACGTCATGTACGTAAGTATAGTTAATCAAAATGACAGACATTATTTTTTTATGTTTTCTTTTTATTTTTTGTTTTCTTTGTTTTGCTGTTCCTGATTCACTTGACACTCTCGCTGATGCCTGAGAGATCTGTGTTTGGGATTAATTTACTGGGCTGTGTTTACAGTAAAAAGCAAGTAGTCCATTTTGGGTTTTTCCTATTTTAAACCTTTTTTGAGACTTTTTCATTACAGGATTTAAAACAAAAGCAGCCGCTCTTAAGGAAAGTGTAACTGCCGTGGCCACAAGTATGCTTCTTGCACTTGAAGGCTCTAAGAGGGTTGCTTACTGCCCTTTTCTGCATTGGACTCACGGCAGAGACTATTAAACTTGAAGATTAAGGAAACTATTGCAAATGCCAGTGCATCAGAACCTAAGAGTGGTCAATTATGTGCAATTTTTTGTAAAGAAATTTTAATTTATAATAAAGTTTAACAGTTTAAAGATATTGATCTGTTCTGTATTGGTACTCCCTTGTAGTATTACAGGTGTTTTTACAGAGATATTTTCAATACAAGCTGATCTTTTTTAAAAAAATAAAATCTGTTGTCTTTTGTCATTTTGATCAAAAGTTAGGTGAATGTGGTTGAACTCCATGTTGTCGGTGTAGAATAACTACATCTCAATGAGTTTTTTCCTACTCTTGCCTCGGGTACACAGACATTTGTCCCGTAACAACTATTCCTGTCAATACCACTTCAGTAATGGAAAGCACATTTTATACATTGTCCTTTTCACCTTTAATGAAATGAAGCCCACTTTCCTAAGTCACTGACTGTACTTTGCGTAGAGATACTGTCAGCCCACTGAACTGGTGATGGGGCTCTTCACATCAGCTTGGCTTGCCACCTGTTTTTTTCCATCTGTGCCAAATCATACCAAATGATGGTTATAGTACCTTTTGCCTAGGTGGTCGGTGAAGGTGCCATGAAGACAGCGAACAAGTGGTCTTCATATTTGAGGCAAAGTGGTTTGTGACATATAACTTCCAGTAACTTTCAGAACCCTTACTTTTTCTGAAGTTACACGTGAAGCAGCTCTCTTAAAGGAGAGAAAAGTGCGAAACAACCAGTTTTCATCTACGGGAATGGAGGGTGGTGGGCACCTTAAGTCCTTTTAGATAACTCAAGCATAAATTATAAAACAAGTAAAACTTCAAATACCCACTTCAATGGCCAAGTTTCTCTGTGTACTACAAAACCACAATCAGAAAAGCTGACTCAAACATGTTGTTGATGGTAGTAGAGCGGTATTCAGGCTTCTTATGTGGTACGGCTCGGAATGAAAAAAGCATAGACCAGAAAAGTGCAGTATTTAATTCTTCTATTAAAAACACTTCAAGCATGGTAAACGCTGGCTTACACACATTGCTCAAATATTTTTTCGAAATCTATCTTTAAAACTTGGCTCATAAACAGTCAATGATTTTTCTGCAGCAACACCTAAATGCCTACAGTTTTTATTCTAGTGTGATACCTATTACCTGTTAAAAATAGAAAAACTTACACTGTCAAGAGCTTCAGCACTTTCGATGCTGTCTTATGCTTTCCCTGGCTCAGGCTTGCCTTACGCTTAGGACTATTACTTTACCTTTCTTGCTTTGCTGTTCAGTGCCTTTATAACAAAAGGCCTAGTGTTCTTTCTAAGGAGACCTTAAGCTTTAAATTTTCATGAAGGACTAATCATAGGTACTCTGCCTTAGTGGCGTCTCACATACTTGGAGGTAAGAGGAGGGGAAACCAAAACCTCACAATGTTCTATCTTCCATTGACCTTTATCTGTATTGTTTTAATTAAAATACTCCCACTTTATATGTGGCCTTTTGACCCAATTTTGCTTGGCTGGATGGCATGTGAAAGTGGCAACTCAGAATGGAAACTGTTCGTTTAGGGGCTGGGATGAAGAAGCATGAGGAAGTTGTATATTCTGTAGAGCTGTGTAAGCACTTTTTTCGCCAAGCCAGAAACAAAACGCACAGCTGGGTAACATAGAGCTGCCAGGAAGGGTTTAGTGCTTCCACTGGCCTGCAGTCAGCGTTGAATCCTTTCCGTGCTCTGGTAGGTACAAAGAAGACATTCTGTTTAACAAAGAGAACACCTTGTTGACAAACAAGGTGGTTTCTTTCAGTTGTTTGCAAAACTTCATTAATTCATCACCAGGAAGATGAAATTATACCAAGGGTATTAATTAATGGTGGTATATTAAATTAAGGGTATTATATTAATTAATAATTAATATTAGTGTTTTAAATTAATGATCTTTCCTGAGGACTGTTCTACAAGAAATAAATTTCAGATTGTGGGGAATAATGTAAGAGAAGATAACTTCAAGCAATCAAAATACTAGCTGATTAAGAGGAAAAATAACATTAGCGGGAAAGCACAGTAATTTTTCACATAAAACTATGCTGCTACTTATTCAGTGCTCAGAATGGCTACTTTATGAATGGTGATCTGATTATTTGACCTTTAGTTGAAGTCCTTCCGGAAACAAACTCTGGGTAGGTCTTTAGTGGTACTGCACCAAGCTATTGCTACTGCAGTATTTTTCGTTTTCTGGCTGTTGCAAAGACAAAACAGTATGAACAAAACATTCAGCTCTATTGATTAGGAAGAAAAATAAATGGAAATCATTCATTGTTTTAGTGCATTCAGTGAAGACCTACATGAAGATTATCTCTCAGTATTAGTCATTTTAGTGCTTACTGAGACAATGATCACTTTGTGGGATGGCATGGTGTTTAGTTTTCACAAAAGTTCGTTTTTTACCTAGCTTTGTTATAGATATGCTTTCCACAACTACAAGGTGAAGACATATTGGAAAGTAAGCACAGAGGGAAGCAATAAGAGGAGGTAAGGAGAAAAGTTTTAAAGAATTGTTTAGGTAAGAAATTTAGGTAGATTTAAGGTATTAACCTTTCTGAGATAACCGAGACTCGTCTTTTCCTATGACTATTTGAAGTTTTGAGTAAGTGTTTTTCTGCAAGACACATCCTCTTTTCACTGGTTTCAAGGATGAGCCTATTCATTCTTCTAGGCCCATTGATTAGTTGCATTTTATATAACAATGTTTATTGAGAATTAGCAACTCTGAAAAGCAGATGTAGTTTCCCTTTCACGTTCCACAGGCCCTATTTCAGGTGAAAGATTTGAAAACTTGTAGTGCATGGTTTGTGTTTATATATAAAACTTAAAAAAGATCCAGGGATTTTCAATGTCACAGGAATGTTACCTTAAAATGAACGAGTGCGCGGGTTCACCTGATGTCAATAGCAGCAGAGGCGTGAGAGGTTCGAAGAGGATGGCAAACTAAAGAGATGCAGTGCAAACACACAGGAAGATGACAACAGGGAGATGCAAAATGGGTCAGACTGCTGCAGTGAGACCAAAGCAGTCCACTGTAGGCCAGCTTCAACAGGGCTGTGACAACAGCACGCACCCAGCATGCTGTGGGCATCAGCCACGCACCTCTTGTTCTGCTGAGGAGCTTCCCACTCAGCAGAAGAGCTCTGTAGTCTTCTGAGAACCTTGATGCAGTGTCTAGCCTGCTGTTGGCTGCCCTGCTGCCTCCTGTAGGTCTTGGTGCTCTCGTGAACACAGTGGGCAGCTGGTACTCTTAACGTTCTTACAATTAAAGGTGGCTACCTGGGGGCTTACCTGACTGTAAGTGAGACAAAACAGAGTTCTTGCACTGTGACTTACAGACTGTTCTCTTTTGTGCTTCTAGAAATAACTTGTTTTCATTCAATTACATTAATTTCACTTTTGTCATGCTGCTTGTGTTTGGGGGCCCTTAAGCCTCCTGTTATCCAAAGTGTAAAAATAAGAAAATCCTCCACCTGTTCTTATTGCCCAGGGTTGTGCAACAGAACCCTGTGTTGTCTGTTTCCCTTCACTTACCTGAGTCTCCAATTCATCTGCAAGTTTCTTAAACTTTTGTGAGGAGAAAGGAGACAGTAGGTCAAATGAAAACCAGGAAGAAAGATCCCACTAGGGGTTCCCTTGTAAAAAAAGTAGAGAGCATCTACTCCTGAACTTTAGGCATCATTTGTGACAGCTTTTTTTTCATAGTGCATGTTCTAAGGTTCCTTACAGCTTCAATTCCACACTTCAGTTTTTCATGGAGATAAGCATTGTCAGATGTTGAATTCCCCCTGCCTCTTTTCTGCTTTGCTTTTCTGAGGTCCCTCTGAACGACTGGCTTTGCTCTGAGCTTGAGGCTGCTTGTGAGCCCTTGCTTTTCTCTGAGGTTCAGAAAAGAAGGAATGTTTCTCCGGGGTCTCAACTGGTCAGTATTCAAAGCTAAGCAGCCTTCAACTGTGGAAGCAGACCCACCAGCAAACAGGATTTCCACCACTAACGTTTATGCAATGAACGTTCTGAAACACGGGGCTAGTATTGGGAGACACAGAGATGGCTACACTGGTGTTGAATACAGTTGTTCTGGATGACTGTGCCATGGGTTTCTCAGCTCTCAACATCTGGGTGCAGAAGGGGATGGGTGCTGATCTGATGCAAATCCCTAGTTTAGTGGAGTAGACTGATGTCCCCATGGGCAGAGACATCCTTCACTAGATCAGGTTGTTCAAAGCCTTGTCCAACCTGACCCTGAACACTTCCAGCGATGGGGCATCCACAACTTCTCTAGGCAACCTGTTCCAGTGCCTCATTATAAAAAATTTATTTCTTATGTGCCATCTAAATCTACCCTCTTTCAGTTTAAAGTCATTGCCCCTTGTCCTATCACTACAGGCCTTGGTAAAAAGTCTCCATCTTTCTTACCAGCTCTGATTCTTAAGCCCTATTGCGCATCAGATGTCAGTCAGATGTGTTGGACTAGGAGTGATCCTTAGGCTCGTTAGCTCAGAAGTTTGGAATTCTTGGAGTTAAAGCTGTTGGCTTTCAGATCTAGCAAGTTGTTCTGTAGCAGCATCCAGGCTTTTGAATTGCAGTCATTGATCATGTAAGTGTACCGAGTTTTTTATTTCTGCTCGCAGTGCTGAGTTAATGCTAGTCCCATATGAATTGCATTCTGTGCTTTGATGGTAGGTTCTTGAGCTGCTTACCATTTTCATGCTTCTAGGACAAACTGTGGAGACAAGGACAAGTTCTTTTGTCCAGATTACAAGCTTTGAGTGAGGAGTTAAGGGAGGGAAAACAAAGCCTTGGCTCAACTCATTCATTTATTGACAGCTTTTCCTGGTTGGGTTACATAAAACTGCAAAAATATATTAAAAAAATGTAGTTACATAAAGAATAGGACTTTTTAGCCAATTAAAACATGCTTCCTTTTATTCATCCATGCTGACAATTAATAGCCTGGTACCTTTATTTTTTGGAGTCCTGATTTCTATTGAGACTACAAGAGGTGTTATAGCTGTGCATCAGAACCTGACCAGTACTTGTAAGTGTAAGTGCATGCTGGTATTTGATATTAAAGATTTCGT